ACAATTTGTGACTTTTGGACCTAAGTGAAATAAGCATTCAAATAAGTTACAACATGAAACAAGAATACACATATGCACAAAGCATAAAATTCTTAAATCATTCTAACATTCTATAAAACGGTAAAATTTACCTTACTTGCATTCACACACTCAACATCCTACCATCACCATTCAAACTTGGGAGACTCTTCATTGGATACTTTTATACAAATAGCAACCAATCTAGAAGAGGTTCTCATCATTCATCCCTAAAAAACACTTAAGAAAATGTAAAAAGAAACAAGTATATATACAATCTAAACAACTGTACAAAGCTCAAAAATATAGAAACTATTGCAATGCACTTCAATACCTAAACACTAATCCCGACAATAGTGCTATTTTGTTCGAGCTGCAATAAAGCGACAAGAAGCAAACATTTAGATTTGGAAGGATTCCCTTCGGAATTTATATCGTCTCCGCATGGATTGGTGCGAGGGAAAGAATGTCGTTTAACGATCTCTATATTTCTAAGCTTATAGTTATAAAATGGTTGAAAGATCAACGATATAATAGATAAAAGCTAAAAATATAAAAACAAAAAATATAAAGTAAATACTGAAATATAAATGGAGCCTTGTTAGGAATAAATCTCATCAATTGATAACACATGCATTCTACTAATCAGTTAAACGAACATCAATCATTCGTCTAATATCCTCACGTATCACCCACAACAGAGGTTATGTCTAATAACACAGAGCATTAAGAACTGATACTCACACAAATGCCTCATTGCCTCATTGGTGATATCTCACGCAACTCAACAACACAAAGCATTAAGAACTGATACTCACACAAATGCTAAGCCTAATTTATGTCTAGATCCTTGAACCTAATAGGTATCAAAAGATGACACCCATATCAAATTCATGATTGATTCACATAAAACACCATGATCAGAATACGTACATACGCTTAACCTTTTTTACATGCATTCACCTAATTTGTCAAATGTATGTGAACACAGTTCTTAATCACTATTATCACGCATCCTCACAATATCGTTCGCGTAAAAAATATTATCGTGGTATTTATCGTATTGACCATGCTCATGCTACTCATGCTACTAATCAACACAATAAAATAAAAGTGATACTAGTGAATATCAACTTATAAGACAATGTCAAAAGTTTGCTCATTGATAGATAAATATCTTAGGTCAAAGATTTGAAAAGATTTTATCAACACCCACAAATAAGAAATCAAAGACAACATCAATATTGAATCAAAACTAGTTCAAAATACATAAATTAGATGCAATACATAAGGTATCAAAAGATTACATCCAAACCCAACAAGAAATCGAAGCACTTACTCGAAGATCAAGCTCTGAGTTTCTTTGATTTTGACTTCTCCCCCTTAGGATTTTGTTTCTCTCTTTAAAATCATGTTTGGAATGAAGAGAGATAAAGTTCTGATCTGAAAAATATCTAACTACTTTCTAAAAAGTGAGAAAAGTACATACATAGTATGTACAAAATCTATCCTGTTCGACTAGCGAACACCCTATTCGCCCAGCGAAGACCACTTTTGGGCACTTCAAGTGCCTCAGGTACAGTTAAATCGCCCTTGAAAAATATATGAGTTCCCCGTACGAGCACTTCTTCGCACATTCGCTACAGATTTGCCCAACGAACTTTGGATCCTTTTCCTACTGCCTCTAATCTGGGCTGGTTCGCCGGGGCTTCGCTGCAACTTTGCCCAGCGAATATTCGTTGGTTGTTTGTTGTTGTTTGTCCAACGAACATGCTGATTCCTATTCATTTCTTTGGCTTCCTTGTCCACTCCTTTGTGTTTTAATCATTGATGTTTTATGCCAATATTATACATAATAACACACACATCAAAGGATCCAAAGGTATTTGCAATATAATTGAAGAATCACACAAGAATAATAAATAAATCTATTAAAACATAAGAATTGAGTTGAAAAGTGCCAAGATAGATTATTCATTTTAAGTCAAAATTTTCACTTAACAATGAGAGAAAATCATTCTTGAATCAAGAGTGTTAATGAGGAGGCATTCAAGCACCTTATCAAAATTCCACAAGGTTTTGGAGCAAATCAAGGTTTAGGACTAGTACAGGACGTGACACTTTGGTGAAAAACATGTAAGAGGCCTTTAACTATGTATTTGTAACTGCAAGAGCCAAGTCAATTGTCACTATGCTTGAAGAAATAATAGTGTATCTTATGCAGATATGAGAGTCAAATAGGTAGAAGATTGTCAAATATGAAGGTACAATTCTACCAAATATCAAAAAGAGGGTGGCAAAGGAATCCCAAAAAAATAAGCCATTGGTTTGTGAGGTGATATGATTATATTGTGATTTCTATATGTAATATTTGTATAACTAAATTGGCTTATGATTATATTGTTATTTCTACATGTGTTACAGGCATGCAGGTGAATATGACTACGAAGTTAGGCATATAGCATTCAATGGGGAAAATATATGTTGTTAATCTTTACAAAAATGAATTCTCATGTAGAATGTAGATGTTGACCGGCCTTCCATGTTGCCATGCAATATCATGCATGAAGGGTCAACACTTAGAACTTGATGATTTTGTGTCTGAATGTTTTAAAAATGAACGCTATGAAGTTTGTTATGCATCAGTTCTTTATCCAGTTAATGGGGAAATTCTGTGGACAAAAACCAATGTTGTTGATTTGAAGCCACCACCCATAAAGAGACAACCTAGTAGGTCCAAGAAAAAAAAGAACAAAGAGGCTGAAAAAATGGTGAGAGAAGAGTCACATCTGAAACGAGCAAAATATGGAATCAAGTGCAGTCGTTGCCATAAGGATGGTCACAACAATACCACATGTAAACTGCCATAACCACAAGCAATTCCAAGTCAGCCACCACAAGCACCTTCAAGTGAGTCAGCACAAGCAACTTCAAGTCAGCCACCACAACAAACAACTCCATGTTAGCCACCACAAGCACCTTCAACTCAACCACCACCAAAAAAGAAAAAAAAAACACTTCAAAGGGAAGAGGGGTATGTTTCAAGTCAACGATGATTTTTTATTTCTGTTTGTTATTTTTTGTTATGATGTTTTGGAATGTAACCATATTACCGAAGTGCTATGTAATTTTGCATTACGAATTATAATTCTATTTTGAATGATATAACTTATAATACCATTTTAAACTGATATGTATTTTATTATTGCTTATTGAAATGATATGGCTTATAATGCCATTTTAAATTTCAGATATCATTGATGTTTATTATAATGTCATTATTGAAATGATATGGAAAATTTTGTTACTATTATCACTATTGAAATGAAATGGCTTATAATGTCATTATTGAAATGTCACACCTGTATAATGAACATAAATTACTTACCATAACATTATGCAGAGTAATGAACACATGACAGATACAAAATTCAACCAAAATATTACACTATATAGAGTATTATTGAAATGTTACACTAGTATAATGAACACAAATTACTTATCATAACAATTTGTTTATCATAATAGTAAACCAACAAAAGTGTTACATAGATAAACTCATGATAAATACAAAATTCAACCCAATTAAATTACATTGATAAAGTTATGACAGCACACTGCATTACCCTAAAGTTTAAAATCCCAACCAAAATTCCAACTTATTTGAAATACATTTTTACAAATACAAGATTAAACTCTATGCTCAAAATCCCAACAACAATGGACATTTTCAACTATCTTCTAGTATGGAGAACCTCATTCTTCAAATTTAAAATTTTCTTCTTTTGCCTTCAATTTTCAAATCCATTTCACTAATTATTTCATCACCTAACCATTTGAAAAAATTACAGCTTTTATCCATGTGATTTCTATAATTTCTACAACCCAAAAATTTTCTCTCACAGTTCCCACTATTCATATTGCTAATAGTACAAAAAACACTTTCATCTTGGCAAAACACTCCACCCTTATATTTCTACGAAGCAAAGATCCAACTGTCTCAAAGTTTTAATTGTTTGACATTGAAGCACTGCTTACATTCTTTACATTGGTGAAATAATTGAAAGAAGACACATCAAACAGTAAAAAGTAAAAGCAACCGAAAGCTAGAAGATGAAAACAAAAGTTGAAAAATAAAAACGATTTGAAAACAAAAGCTGGAAGATGAAGATTCAATCCCTAAAATTTGAAAATGAAATTTGTAATATAACGAATCAACCAGAGTACAAGTTTATCACAAACGTTGAATTAACAATTACATTTGCCTATATGTTATACCACAAAATCACTACTTAACGGTTTTTTTTTACAAAAACTATCGAATGAGATTATTTTAGATAATAAAATGTTAGTTAAGAGATTAATCGGTTTTTTTTTACAAAAACTATCGAATGAGATTATTTTAGATAATAAAATGTTAGTTAAGAGATTAATTCATAACATTTTTTAGTTAAAAAACAAATGCGAAATATTTTATTAAGTTAAGGGACTTAAGAATTCATTAGGCCTATATTATTAGCTCTTATTTTAAATGTGACAATCATCTATACACTAATATTTGTTGTATAATTAATATTTAAATTATATAGTCGACAAAATATGTTTGACCTAATGTAATATTTGTTTAAATTTATATATGCTTCAATATATTGCATTCAAACAAGTGCACTTCAGGAGCTCGAGTATCTAACAAGTAAAAATGAAAAAACAAGGCAGTGCTTTTTTTCAAATTAAATGCATTCATGCGACAAACAAAATAAAGTACTGTGGTATCTAACAAGTATAAATAAATGTTTGATTGTAGATACAAGGCTCGTCAAAGTTCTATGGACATTTCAACCAAATAAAGAAGGGGACAAAAGGAGTCTATTGAATAAAATCCAAACTCCTACAACTTTTCTTACAAATAATCGCTAATTTGGGTGTAGGACAGTACAATGCATAAGGCTACATCAGTAGCATTATTGTAGGAGTTCCACCCATCAGCTCCATGGGCGACCGCCGCCAAAACTCTTCCCACGATCTCGGAAGCCCCCTATTGATCATAGAAAAGTATAAAAAGAAACAACTTATTTATGAATCAAAAGTGGACAGAAAATAAGAAAGAAATTCTACAGATGAAGCATGCTTCCAGTTACAAACTATTCTCTCACCAATCATGTTGGCAAGTGGCGCGAAAATATAATTCTACTAAACAAGCCAGACCAAGACATCAATAGACACAATGACTGCCTTTGTGTTTGGATCCATGTCACTCAAGCAGAATTATCGCATAGCATATATAACCTTCGACCAGAAATACTCGACGACAGGCGGGCGGGCCAATATAAGTATGTATGTACTAGCCAAAGCTGATTAACAAACCTGAAGGTGGAGGAGGTGCACCACGCCCCATTGCTGCTAATTCAGAACTTACTCTCTGTCCAGCTTCTTCAAGTATGCTAATAAGTTCCTTTGCAAATCTGGCATTAGCTGCTGTGAAGAATGTGTATGCAGTTCCTTTTGCACCAGCTCTCCCAGTTCTTCCAATGCGGTGAACATAATCCTCTAGTGATCCCGGGAAATCATAATTTATCACGTACTTCACATCCTTCACATCTGTCAGTAATAATCAAATATAAGAAAATATCAATATACACAAGCGCAGCTAATGATGTAAATTAATAAGTGACACTTCCTCAGTAGTGCAACCAAACAAAAGGACATTTTTAAAAGCAAAATAAAAAATCCTAATGCACACCTGGATACAAAGATTACTGTTAAGAAATTGTGGTTGGGCCTAACTCAACCCTACAAAACCGGTTGGTAGAGTGAGGATTGCTCCCACTTATAAACACATGTTCATGCCATATATTATCCGATGTGGGACTCTTAACACACCCCCTCACGCTCAGGACTGGACAACTAAAGCGTGAAAATAAATGGTGGGTGGCCCGATAGCGAGAACCATAGAAGGTGGCCCACCGGATCTTAAACGAGGCTCTTGATACCATGTTAAGAAATTGTGGTTGGGCCTAACTCAACCCTACAAAACCGGTTGGTAGAGTGGGGATTACTCCCACTTATAAACACATGTTCATGCCATATATTGTCCGATGTAGAACTCTTAACATTGATAAGTCAAAAAGACCAAATTTAATGGTTGAGCCATAAACAATTCACAAATAGAACTTGAAGTCTTCAGTCACAACAACAACGATTAGCTATTCACCGCATACAGTTAAGACCTACTAATACATATATGGTACTGACTAGCAATAGAAGGAAATTCTAACTTAAGAAGGCAAAGTTATCCGTGAGAGAAAATTGACGATATGAGCTAATGACTGCATAACGACGAAAAATACAATGGTAAGGCCACCCAACATTGCTTGGTTCACACAATAAGTATGTCCCTTACATGTAAAGAGTAATATATGAACATTAAATCTAGTGATTAAAAGTGGTTTAAAATAGTCATATTCATAAATAAGTTGGAATGAACCGAGCCATTGATTAACTACAGAATTATCTTTTACTGACAATTTCCAAAACACGGTTCTATCTAAAACTACTTCAATTACCTGCACTGAATACGAATATCATATAAACAATTGATCACAAATTTTGTACCTAAACCACGAGCTGCAACATCTGTTGCAGTCATTATAGGACTCTTTCCAGATTTAAACTCTGAAAGCACCCAATCTCTTTCTGCTTGACTTTTGTCTCCATGAATTGAAAGTGCAGGCCATCCATCCATGCGGAGCTGCCTAGTAATCTGATCACACCCTTTTTTAGTATCCATGAATATCAATATTCGGCTTCCATCCATGATGTCCTCCAACAACTTCACCAATCTGTAATAAAAAGACTTTATAAACGGTTCTACATGACAAGTTATTCAAGTTAGGGATTGAAAATGAAGTAGATTATGTCCTACTTATCATATTTTTGCTTTTCAGGAACAATGTCAACGTATTGCTTTATAGCATGGTTGGCTTTTAAATCTTCAGAACCTATAATTACCTGCACAATTAACAGAAGTTGTCAATTCAGTCTTCAATATAAAATAATTCTGACAAATACAATGCTATACAGAAATAAATAAACACCCACGATTGTCAAATTCGAGAAGCTGTGCAAACTAGTGAAGTCAGAAGTTAATAAAGTGTGCAGAGAAGGCTTTTTAGGGCCAGTGCGCAGAGGGGGTGATTTCATTCATAGGATGTCTTGTTGGTCGTGTTAGGATGGTTCTAATTGCCGACAGAAAGGGTTTGCTACAATAGTACTCTGCTCATGTAGTATAGTGTTCGGACCCTTAGGTTAGGGGTTGGGAGATTAAAATTGCATCGTAAGAGAAAACACAGTTTCTCTGGAACATCTTTTACGCTTATTACAGTGTATCTGTGGAGCCACAGAAATTGCATCAAACTCAGAATTCCGTCTGAGTTTTGAACAGATCCATCTGAATCGACACACATTTACCAGGGAACATGTTTTAAAGTGAATCGGCTTGATTTTCCTACTTAAACATATAGACCCGTACAAGATTACGAGTAAACTCTTGACAGCTGTGATCTAGTAAGGAAGAATAATATTATAAATTCCAGAACATACCATTTCAACAGAAGAGTGATATGAAAAAGGACAGCATAACAAGAAAAAATCTTACTTTGTATGGATTGTAAAGGAACTGCCTTGCCAATTGTTCGACCTCCTTTGGCCAAGTAGCACTCCAGTACAAAGTCTGACGGTCTGGACGAATCTGCATAAATAAAAACAATAATAATGATAATAGTAATGATAATAATCAGATAACCAAACCAATCAACAAAATGTTAATCTAAAGCCATATCAATATGCCTTTGCTACTTCAGTTCAGATCCATTAGCATGAACTTATATGATGAACTAATGCCTTGTGATTCAATAAAATTTGTGCTTCTGACTGAACACCACCAGTTGCTATCAACTTGGTGCACATGATTTGACCTCAATCCTGAACTTTCAAAAAAAAAAATCAGATTGTTTCAACTTCATAGGATTCAATATAATTTCTTTCTGGTGCTTCCTTTCCATGGTTTTCAGCTAAATGTTGTTTTAAAAGAGTGGGTTTTGTCTGAAATCTTATAGGACTATGTCTTGTATTGATGTCATTCAAATTTGTTCAATGAATTGTGGTTTTACTTCCTCTGAGGATATCTTATCCTTTCTTTATTTTCAATGTTTAAACACTGCACATTAATTCCAACAAATAGGAAAAACAGCAGGAAGTGAGTTATCCTGGTTTGCAGTTTACTGTACTCGGGTTTGATTTCCTAGTTGTTTGGCTAAGCCAACCAAATTGCGAGCTGCAGAATTTGAATTTACGACTAATTTACTATTGAACGACAATCACACTCAGGTTCGGTTTCCTAGTTTTTTCTCCTCTCATGAAAGATACACAGCAATGCAAAATGAAATTTAACATAGAATAGCAAGATAAATGAATTATGCAAAGCATCAAGGAAAGCAATTTGACTATACCAAACAATACTACTGTAGACTATTTCCTGAGGTTTTACCACTTTACAATATTAATCAGATAATAAAAAAGTCACCTGAGAGACAATTTTCCGTATTTGAGGATCAAACCCCATGTCCAACATCCTATCAGCTTCATCCAACACCAGGTATGTCACCCTTCGCAAATTAGTATGATTTGACTCGAGCATATCAATTAACCTTCCCGGAGTGGCGATAACAATTTCAACGCCTACCCCAAAATTAATAAAAGCATCATCAAATACAGTTACAAAAGAAAGATGAGTTCTTTATCACAAGCCATGGCACACTTGAGGCTCTCATACCTTTCTGAAGATCGCGTACTTGAGGCCCTTTAGGAACCCCGCCATATATGCACGTGCTCTTAATCCTTGACGATGCACCAAATTTAGTAGCCTCTTGTTGTATTTGTACGGCAAGTTCACGTGTTGGAGCCAAAACTAACACAATAGGACCATCCCCGGGATCTGAAAAACATTGTTGATGAATTATCAAACAGCAAAACAATTAAATAAAGGAGGTATAGGCAAACAAAGGCAGGCACCTCTACAGTTTACATCTCAGTCGCAGTGCTTCCTTTTCTGCTTACCTAGAATTGGCTGTGCATTAACATGCACTATGGCCGGCAACAAATAAGCAAGTGTCTTCCCTGATCCTGTCTCTGCAATTCCTATTAGATCACGTCCCTTCAAAGCCATTGGCCAACCTTGGGACTGAATGGGTGTAGGTTCAACAAAGCCAGCTTTTTTAACCTCTTCCAGTACATATTCTGGATTAAATTAAATCAAAGTTGTAAAATCAGTAGAGTATCACCACGATAATCTATGAGTACCAGTATTCTCATATAGTGGCTATTGTGTTGCAGAATTAGTAAAACTCTAGATTAAATGGGTATTTAGAACAGTGTGTTGTCAAATATAGGTTAAATGGGCGCTATAGTATTGTAGATAGCAAAATTTGAACAAACCACTACTCTCCACTATCCTCCTTCAACATCACTTCAAAGTCCATAGACTATAAAAGTACAAACTATTTTATATCCCCTAAGTTTTACCCCTTTCTTCAAACCAAAACCTATGAAGCACAGACACTCCGAGCATACACTTCGAACATGATACCAACATTGACATGGCGACCTCGGTAATAATTTGAAAAACTGAATGTCAGTGATAATTAAATGTAATCACAAATGTCGGTGTCGGTCAACATGCCTTTTTTCAGAGGTTTTGGTGGTGCTACGAAGACCAGAACCATATAGTACTAAGTAAATGACACTTGAATTGTTACCCCATTGGTAGACTATACATAAATTCTAATAGCAAAATATCATCATCTTAAACAAAACTAGCACTTAAATTGAATCCAATCCAATGAAATGAAAAGAAATTGAACTGTAGAGTGTAATTCATTCATCTATGTTTGTGCAATAAATGATATGTACCTGGAAAAGCAGCATCAGAAAAGGATTTAACAGGTTTCGGGACATCTTTCCCTTCAACGGTAATTTCCCGGCGTAGCCGATACTCAATAACTTCAGCCTCAGTCATTGCCCTAACAGAAGGCGATTCATTGTAGAAGTTTTTCTCAAAATGAGGTAACCCATCCAAATTAATTTTCTTAGGAGAACCAGACCCACCGTCATCATAGTCTCTTCTACTCGAAGGCGCAGCAGCAGAAGCTCCTCCGCCACCTAACCCCGAGTCACTGAGAAAAAAAAATAACAATGAAGGTAAAACAAGTATATATACAATTGAAAAGAAAGATAAACCCTAGAAAGTGGAATTGGAGTTATTACCTTCTTCGGTCGCGGTAGGAAGTGGGGTCGGAGGAACGGCTATCGTAGCGGCTCATGATCTCTCTCGCGCGGTTGTGGAACCAATATCGGAAAGTGGGTGTGACAGTGGAAGTCAAGTAGAAGTAACGAACTTGTTGTATGCTCCTTCACTGTGTAGTGTGGTTAGGGTTTGGCTAAAAGTACCGTGTTAATGTATTGTCTATTACTCCAGTTGTTGCCACACGCGCCGCTGCATTCACGACCGCAGTTTAATCTACGGAGTATGAACTGGTTGGTTCCTTCTTCTACTCTATTTTTCTTTTTCTTCTTTCTTTGATAAACATGTATTATGTTTTTGTTATTTTAAAGAAACATGTATTATACAGATTATACAGTTCAGTTGATTTTGATGATAAATAAAATAAAAATTCATAATAAAATGATAAATATCAATTCTATATAGAGAAAATTAAAAACGTTGATTAGTTCTAAAGAAAAATTGAGAAGAGAAAAATGGATTAAAAAATGCTAACTAGAGAAAGATATAAAAAATAGGGTAACGATTATCTTGTTTCAAAAATTTGTGTTGAAAACATAAAAATAAAAATATTTTTAGTAAATTCAATACATTATTTTTATAATAAATTTTTTACATAAAACACAAATTTTTCGTTTATGAGTTTTTAATCTATATTGTTATGATACAAGTTAGCATTGAAAAAAAATTAAAATATTGATTAGTACAAGAGAAATTGTTCTGGCATGGGCCCCGGCCTGACCGGGAAGGCCCAGCCCACATATACTTGGGAGAAGGCCCAAAGGAGCCATCCTCATCTGTGTCGAGCATAAGACTCCCGTCGACCAGACACTGCCCCCGTCGGGCAGAACCTTCCTCATCTGTGTCGAGCACAAGACTGCCCGTCGACCAGACACTGCCCCTGTCGGGCAGAACCTTCCCTCCGTCGGCCAGACACTGCCTCCGTCGGGCAGAACCTTCCCTCCGCGGGCAGGACCTTACCCTCCGTGGGCAGGACCTTACACCTCTGCGGGCAGGAACTTACCCTCCGCGGGCAGGACCTTCTCCCCCTCCACGGGCAGGACCTTACCCTCCACGGGCAGGACCTTCTCCCCCTCCACGGGCAGGACCTTACCCTCCGCGGGGAGGACCTTCTCCCCCTTCATGGGCAAGACCTTCTCCCCCTCCGCGGGCAGGACCTTCTCCCCCTCCGCGGGCAGGACCTTACCCCTCCGCGGGCAGTACCTTACCCTCCGCGGGCAGGACCTTCTCTCCCTCCACGGGCAGGACCTTACCCCTCCGCGGGCAGGACCTTACCCTTCGCGGGCAGAACCTTCTCCCCCTCCACGGGCAGGACCTTCTCCCCCTCCGTGGGCAGGACCTTACCCTCCGCGGGCAGGACCTTATCCCCCTCCGTGGGCAGGACCTTACCCTCTGCGGGCAGGACCTTTTCCCCCTCCGCAGGCAGGACCTTATCCCTCCGCGGGAAGATCCTTCCCCCTTCGCGGGCAGGACCTTCTCCTTGTCGGGCAGAACAGCGTGTCCTTCACACGTTCTCCACGTGCCCCCTTCCGCGGGGACACGTCACCGACCAACTGCCCACCTCCGAAAGAGCAGGTCAAACCCACTTTCCAGATATCACGGGACAGTTGGACTAGGGCGAAGACCACGTCCTGGTCTTCACTACGCCACGTAAGCCCTAGCAGTCACCTGGGTTGGGCCTAGCAATCCAGCCCAACACAAGTGACCGTTGGCCCAGCGCTGGGGTCTCTCTATAAATACCCTCTTCCACAAGAGGGTCAGGTAATTCACTTCTTACCCTTTTTCTGTACTTTGCTCTCACTCTGCCCAATTCCTTACTTTGGCATCAAAGTGTCTTGCAGGTACACCCCCCTTCTCCTCCTCATCACCGGTGAACAGGTAGCAGTCCAACAACGTGTGACCAGCCCGTGATCCCCTTCTGATCAGGTCAGATCAGTGGCGTCGTCTGTGGGAACTAAGTTTCCCCGTTCCTCCGAGCAGAGAACCAAAGCTTCATCTTTCAACTTCAGGATCAGGACTAGCCCACGCCATAACGACGTTGTTCACAACTCTGAGCACGTCCCTGTCACCAACGGCGACAATCAGGTGGGGACATATCAACTCCGCGAAGAAGGGCAGGACCCTCGCTGCCAACCAGCCAGCCCTTGCCCTCTCCTTCGTCGGGCAGGACCTTGGTTGCCAATCAGCCAGCCTTTGCCCTCTCCTTCGTCGAGCAGAAGCTCTATCGAGCAGGACCTTGGCTGCCAACCATCCAGCCTTTGTCCTCTCCCTCGTCGAGCAGGGCCTTGGCTGCCAACCAGCCAACCCTTGCCCCTCCTTCATCGATCAGAAGAACCGTCGGGCAGGACCTTGGCTGCCAACCAGTCAGCCCTTGCCCCTCCTTCGTCAGGCAGAAGACCCGTCGGGCAGGACCCTGGCTGCCAACCAGCCAGCCTTTGTCCTCTCCTTCGTCGAGCAGAGCTCTGTCTTCACGGGGGAAGACGGAGCACGGGGCCTACTACCTCGAAAACCTACACGGGGATCAACTAGCTCGACCATGGAACGCCAAGAAGCGGAAAAGCTACTACAGTTAAACACTGCCCGCGACGTCCAGGCGTCGCGACCATAGGGGAGCGACATGGTACCACCGCACCTCCTCACGTCTTATAGAGACCAACAAAACAGCAAGCCCAACCTTTGTGTGCGCGGGCAGAAGGCTTTGCTCGACGGAGAATCCCTCGATCGAGACTCCCTCGATCGAGACTCCCCGTCGTTGTACCAGAATCGGCAGGACACCCAGCTCGCGATGGGACGTTCACGCCGTGGGGATAAACTACCCCCGAAACGGCCAGGTAACGAAACCGGTCAACCGTCCAGTTCTCCACACTACTGGAAAAAATTATCGTCGAGCTACCACCCCGGACAGGCCCAAAGGCATAACGAACATGCATTTCAAACATACAAACATATATTTCGAGCATACAAAAGTGCAGAAATAAAAAGAGCATAACACCATGCAGAAACAAGATAAAGTGCACACTTAAACAAAATTCCATAATACGGGCACAAGCCCAGAAGTCAAAATGTTACAATAAACAGGCAAAACCCCCCAGCTGTCGAGCAAGACCTTGGCTGCCAAGCAGTCAGCCCTTGCCCTCTCCTTCGTCGGGCAGAAGCTCTGTCGAGCAGGACCTTGGCTGCCAACCAGCCAGCCTTTGCCGTCTCCTTCGTCGAGCAGGACCTTGGCTGTCAATCAGCCAACCTTTGTCCTCTCCTTCGTCGAGCAGAAGCTCTGTCGAGCAGGACCTTGGCTTCCAACTAGCCAACCTTTGTCCTCTCCTTCATCGAGCAGAAGCTCTGTCGAGCAGGACCTTGGCTGCCAACCAACCAGCCCCTGCCCTCTCCTTCGTCGGGCAGGACCTTGGCTGCCAACCAGCCAACCTTTGTCATCTCCTTCGTCGAGCAGGACCTTGGCTGCAAACCAGCCAGCCTTTGTCCTCTCTCTTGTCCTCTCCTTTGTCGAGCAGAAGCTCTGTCGAGCAGGACCTTGGCCGCCTAAGCGCAGCATTATCAAGTTCTCGCTCCCTCGCCTCAGAGCTACGACTTAGGGGGCTCCTGTTCTGGCCTGGGTCCCGGCCTGACCGGGAAGGCCCAACACACATACACTTGGGAGAAAGCCCAAAAGAGCCATCCTCATCTGTGTCCAGCACAAGACTCCCGTCGACCAGACACTTCCCCCGTCGGGCAGAACCTTCCTCATTTGTGTCGAGCATAAGACTGCCCGTCGACCAGACACTGCCCCTGTCGGGCAGAACCTTCCCTCTGTCGGCCAGACACTGCCCCCGTCGGGCAGAACCTTCCCTCCGCGGGCAGGACCTTACCCCTCCACGGGCAGGAACTTACCCTCTGCGGGCAGGACCTTACCCTCCGCGGGCAGGACCTTCTCCCCCTCCGTGGGCAGGACCTTCTCCCCCTCCGCGGGTAGGACCTTCTCCCCCTCCGTGGGCAGGACCTTACCCTCCGCGGGTAAGCCTCCGCGAGCAGGACCTTACTCTCCACGGGTAGGACCTTCTCTCCCTCCACGGGCAGGACCTTACCCCTCTGCGGGCAGGACCTTCTCCCCCTCCATGGGCAGGACCTTACCCTCTGCGGGCAGGACCTTCTCCCCCTCCACGGGCAGGACCTTACCCTCCACGGGCAGGACCTTCTCCCCCTCCGTGGGCAGGACCTTACCCTCCGCGGGCAAGACATTATCCCTCTCCGTGGGCAGGACCTTACCCTCTGCGGGCAGGACCTTCTCCCCCTCCGCGGGCAGGACCTTATCCCTCCGCGGGAAGATCCTTCCCCCTCCGCGGGCAGGACCTTCTCCTTGTCGGGCAGAACAACGTGTCCTTCACACGTTCTCCACGTGCCCCCCTCCGCGGAGACACGTCACCGACCAACTGTCCACCTCCGAAAGAGCAGGTCAAACCCATTTTCCGGAGATCACGGGACAGTTGGACTAGGGCGAAACCACGTCCTGGTCTTCACTACGCCACGTAAGCCCTAGCAGTCACCTGGGTTGGGCCTGGCAATCCAGCCCAACACAAGTGACCGTTGGCCCAGCGTTGGGGTCTCACTATAAATACCCTCTTCCACAAGAGGGTCAGGTAATTCACTTCATACCCTTTTCTGTACTTTGCTCTCACTCTGCCAAATTCCTTACTTTGACATCAGAGTGTCTTGCAGGTACACCCCCCTTCTCCTCCTCATCACCGGTGAACAGGTAGCAGTCCAACAGCGTGTGACCAGCCCGTGATCTCCTTCTGATCAGGTCAGATCAGAAATAAAGAAGAAAAAATGTTAATAATTTTCAAAAAAAATACTGATTAGATATAAGTTAGTCCTTTTATTTATTTTTTAAATGGTTTTGGTCCTCCTTGTCTATTTTTTGTCCAAAAAAATATTGTTGTGTACTATTTTTTAGATACATACATATTTTTATTAATTTTGCATAAAAAAGATCAATTATCCATTACATATTTGACGACGTTTTATTCC